TTGTGCATCATCGAAAATGCTTTTCATACTCTTTGTGACGCTGTCTCCTGTTTTGTTTTTAATAGCAACAGCCCATGCTTGCTTCGAAAACGTGTCAATAACAGTTAAAAGATAACGATATCCCTTATTATATAACTGATAGGGTATCATTTCAACTAAATCGGCTTGCCATAAATCATCTATCCCCTTCATTATCACACGTCGTCTGATAAAATTTTTTCGTCCTTGTCTATGCAACTCTTCGGTGAGTTGTCTTTTATCCGCATTCAAGTTATTGTTGTTGTTGTTGTCACTCATTTTGTTTTATTTTATTGTCAATATATTTAACAACAATGGGGAACTGTACTTTAATTTTTTTCACCTCATCCGTAGGTAGCTGTGTAGAGAGTAATTTAAAGAGAACGTCCTCAAGTCGTTGAATATTTTCTTCTAATCGCTCTATATACTTAGTATAAATATCTTGAGAGTAGTCCTCTAGAGCTAATTTTATAAGATTCGCACTTTCACTGACCTCTGATTGAAGGTTTGTTTCCAATGTAATTATTTTGCTTTTTAAAATATTTATGCTCTGTCTCAAGCTGTTTAAATCAATATCCGTTTTCTCTTGTCGATTTAAAATATATTTTTTTAGACTTGCTCCTCCTCCTCCTCCTCCTACTCCTCCGGACGACAAGCTTTCACCAAATTTATTAATCTGATTCATTTTATTATATTTGCCTCTCTAATGGATATAATTTCGTTTTTGTGATTGGTATTTCCAGCACTCTCGGATGCTAATAGTAATCGTAATCTCTCGATTAATTCATTCGGATCATCCCAATACTTGTATCCTCTATCCTCCTTGGAGTAAGATTTTGTTGTTGCTGCTGCTGCTGCTGCTGCTGTTTGTGTTGTAAGCAAACCTTTACCAATAAGTTGTGTTTTCGGTTTGAATAGATTTTTTATAATATGCTGATACTTAAAGGATTTAGACCCCTTAACTTGTGAACTATTCTGATATTTTCGTTTGTGTGCGTTTGTTCTTAAGAGAATATCTCGATAATTTTTCAAGTCCAGATTTGAATAATGCGCGGGCTTCGTGTGAAATAGCAATTGAAATAGACCAGGAGTCAATTTCCATTTTTCCTTATCAATAATAATTGTGTTATTATTATTATATTTCAATTTACTATTGGCAAAATACCATTCACCATTTTCTTTTATATTCAGACCATACAACATGTCCAATTGTTTTTGACTTTTTAAGAGCTGAATATTATGCAAAAACGGTGATTTCTTGATCGAAACTTTTCTCTTGATTGCAATTTGTTTTTCCTTTTTGATCACATTGTTGTTGTTTTGTTGCTGTTGTTGTTGTTGTTGTTGTTGTGGCTGTTGTTTTGTCTTGTTATATCTTGGATATCTGGGTCCATTTATCAAAAAACTTTTCTCAAGCATAGAATCTCTTTTTTCGATTAATTTTAATCTTTTATTAGAGGAAGAAGAAGACTGAGGCAGAGGTAAATTTTCTGTGTGAGCACTTCGTTTTTTTTGTGTGTGTGTGTATGATCTCGGTATAAAATTTATAATGTTCGATGACGATGTCTGTGCTGTTTTTTTAAATCTATTAAATTTGGGACCATTGACCTTACGACTTTTTTCAAGCATAGAATCTCTTTGTAGCAGATTAAAAGGTAATTTGTATCTCTTGTTATTAGGCTGGACTGCTGCTAAAGATAAATTCTCAATGTTAGCATTACGTTTGAGATTTTTAAAAAGACTTAATTTTAAATCATAATCATCATCATCATCATCAACAGCAGCAGCAGGGAGAGCTGGGGGGGCAGGGGGAGCAGGAGGGAGAGGGAGAGCTGGGGGGGCAGGGGGAGCAGGAGGGAGAGGGAGAGGGAGAGCAGCAGATGTACTACTACTAACTACTGCATTGTGGTCATCATCATCGTTCCCCCGTTTTAGTGTGTGTGCAGGACTGTTTTTTTCTAATAAATTAGAGTATTTTGCTCTTTGACTATCCAAAAATGAAGTATAGTCTGATAGGATTTCGTTGGAAGTATCTATCAAGTCGGGTGGGTTGTTGTTGTTGTTGTTGTTGTTGTTGTTGGTTATTGGAAAACTCGTTATTTGCGGACGATTAAATTCCATATCAAACACATTAGCATCATCATCATTAGCAGCAGCAGCAGCAGCAGCAGCAGCATCCTCATGCTGGATGTTTCTTCGTTGATAAGGTCTTCTTTTCCTTCTGTTTGCATTATAGGATTTAAATTTTCTCACTTTTATCTCCAAATCGTTGTTTGTGTTGTCGGTGTTATCTAGTCTTCTTCGCATAACCCTCTTTGGAGAGTATCGTCTTTTGTGTTTAAGCATTTCAACATGTTGTTGTTGTTTTTGTTGTTGTTGTTGTTGCTGCTGCTGCTGTTGTTCTCCTTCTTGAAGACCTCGATGCTGATGATCATCATACTTTATCAGTTCACGCTTATTATTGTTGTTGTTGTTGTTGTTGTTGTATTTGTTTGCCTTCTTGTTCTTTTTTAGAAAATTTTCCGCAATCACATTCAAAGGTTTTGTAATTGGTTTAAAGGTATTTTCCAGCATATTAATTCGATCCATTTCATTCGACTTCATGCTCTTCAATTTCTGTGTCAACAACAATCTGGTTTGAATCAGATCATCCAACACTTTAGTCTTATTTTTTGATTTGACCATTGCTGCTGTGGTTGTTGTTGTTGTTGTTGTTTGTTTAAAAACCATTTATTTACTAGTAAAATATATGATATATATATGTATATATATATATAGCTGATCCAAAAGCTGATCCAAAGCTGATCCGAAGCTGATTCAGAGCTGATCCAAAGCTGATGCCGAGCTGATCCAGAGCTGATCGAGAGATGATGATGATTAAAGATGTATAAAACTATCGAATCCTTTTCTATATCGTCCTTTATCAATATCATTATCTTTACTTATGAGAACAAATTCATATTTTTGCTTCCAGCATTCCTCACAAATTTTTATAAATTGCTTAAAAGTCATATCGCCTATAACATGATCATTGTAAATATGTTTAATATTCATTTCATCTTGTTTAAAAATTATAATCAAATTAGCGTTGTCACGTATTAAATGTTTTGGTATTTTTGTATAAGTTTGACATAGATAGAAGGAGTCTATGTGTTTGTGGCGACCCATACAGAAATAATCTCTTATTGCTGTTTGCTTATCACAGATTACGTCATCAAATATCATTATTGAGTGTGGTCTAGCCCTTTCTGGACTGACGACTTTTTCCTTGTCTGAAAACGTGAACATGTGTATCCCCTTAATTGGTTTAATCAATTTCATTAAATATTGATACTTTGGCTGATACAACGATTTTGAATAAATGTATATATTTTGAAATTTAAGTCCATTGGGACTTTCGATCAAACTTATCATTACGTTTGTCTTTCCACAATTAGATGGCCCCACAATTAGAGCACGTATCGAATTCGGTAACAATGGGCTATGTGTAATTTTTCCACTCCTATCCCCCTCACCACAAATTTGATCGACATTTCGAACTTTAATTTGTCTGGTTTGTTTTATAAATCTCATTTTGTTGTTGTTGTTGTTGTTGTTGTTGTTTTATTGGACAAATTTTTACAACTACTAATGAAAATACTATAAATATTTGAGTATATATTTCGTTTTTGTTTAATGTACGATTGTCATTGAAACAGAATAGTCATAAACAAAAAACAAAAAAAAGGAAATACAATAATGCGTATAAATTATAAACATAAATTAAATTCATATCAGTATCGAATTGGTAGTGGACTCGTTAACAACTTGATTAACAAACTACCAATTGAACTTCATTTGCCAGGATATCAATTTTGTGGACCAGGCAAAGGGATTAATCCGCTAGATGCAGCGTGTCGAGAACACGATATTGCATATTCACAATTCAAAGACCTGAAAAATCGTCATCAAGCCGATGATATTTTAGGTGATAGAGCGTGGGAACGTTTTAAAGCAAAAGATAGCGGTCTAAAAGAACGTTCTGCTGCTTGGTTTGTGACTAACGCTATGAAAACAAAAGTTAAATTCGGTCTAGGTATGTCTAAAAACAAATCTAATCGACGTCAACGTAAGAGGAAACCAGCTAGTAATAAAAAAAACAACGTCGACGTCATCGACAAACAAGAAAAAAATCATTCGCAAGCATTGTGAGTCAAACGAAGCGAATTTTGAAACGAAGAAATCCTACGAGTATCGATGAAGCAATTCAGATATCTCAACAATCAATCCCACCTAGTTTTCATCGAAGACAACGAGGACAACGAGGACGAAGACGAGGTCTAGCGAATAATATCTCCAATATTCCGAGGGTGATACCATTACCAAAAATTGGAGGATTCCTACCGTTGATACCAATATTGACTGCACTTGGTGCAGTTGGTGGTCTTGCTAGTGGTGGATCTGCTGTTGCTAAAGCAATAAACGCTGTCAAAAATGGTAAAGAACAATTAGCCGAAGCGACACGTCATAACCGCTATATGGAATCAATTGCGATGGGAAAAGGACTTTTCTTGAAACCTTATAAGAAAGGATATGGACTATTTTATAAGCCATATTCAGCAAAAAACTAATAAATATGCTACCCAAACAAGCACTTACCGATATTGATTTAATTGATTTTGGTAAACAGCATTTTAGACACTTTCGTGGTGTTTTTATGCGTGATCGTCTCCCCAAGAAACCATGGACCAACGAATGTGGGATAATTAATTTAGATAACGAAAGCGGTAGTGGTACGCATTGGGTAGCATATTTCAAGAATAGAAATTATAAAGAATACTATGATAGTTTTGGTGATTTGCAACCGCCCATTGAAATTGTGAAATATTTAAAACCACCCATTGAATATAACTATAGAAATGAACAAAAATTCAATACATATAACTGTGGTCATTTATGTTTAAAATTTTTATTTCGAAAAAATAAAATGTAATATTGTTAGCAGTGTATTAGAGAGGTTCATAGAATAAGCTGTATGCCGATGACTATTTAGTATTAATATCGTTTACATGCTAACTTCCGCATTTATGTACCAATTCCGATATTCCGATTCAATGTAAAACTAAGTTAAGCTAATATATGATGATAAGGATATTGAAAAGAGCAGAGAACGGTCACACTGCGATATAAGAGAGCTAGCGAGCACATGTGTAAATTTAAGCCAATATAAAGAATACAAATAAAAAGTGAAACAGAACGGCAATAACAACTTCAGAAGTGGGATTGACACCTTTTTAAACACCCGCCTACATTTCTGGTTATCTGAGGACACACAGTTTTTTTTTCTGAAATGGACAAGAAACAAATTGTTGAGTGGCTACAAGCCAATGAAATCTTGTTCCCAGCAAGTGCAACTTTAAGGCAATTGCGCAAGCTTGCGTTGGATGCCGGTTGCCAAGAAGCGGCTGATATCCCGGAAAACACATTGGAGGAAGAAGACGCCAAAATTGATATACTAAGTCAAGGAACCGCTAGCGAAGACATACACATACACACATTGGAAGAAGAAGAAGCATTGCTTGACGCCGCCATAAGGGTGGCTGAAAAGAAAAAGATATTGGCCGGATTGATGCAAAACAACAACAAGACGACAGATGACATTAGAATGGTAAAGCAGCTCATGGTCCCGTTTTCTGCCACTGAAAATGAGGAAGCTCTTAAGTGGATTTTGGATTTTGAGAGAATCTGCAGAGATGTTAATGAGTGTAAAAATTTTCAATTGCGCTGCGTACGAATGCTTATGAAACCGGGCACAGATGCGGACTTGTTTGTGCGTGTTGACCGATCGAGTACTTACGACGAATTTAAGAAAAATTTTATAGAAACATTTGGTCATGGCAGTTCAACTGCTGATATTGTATTGCTGTTAAAGGAAACCATTTTTAACCCTGCGAAGAACACCGTTATGGGATACATACTTCTTATGGAGGAAATTGCTATGCGTGCTAATATCGACGAAAAATTGACAGTCCAGTTCATCATTGATGGTTTTCGTGATCGTTCAGCCAATATCGCCCTATTGTACACAGCTACAACAATCGGACAATTGAAAGAGTTGGCTCGGAAGTATGCAAGTCTAAGTAAGAAGTCGCACAATTTTTCCCACCGTGCAGAAAGTTCTGGAAATGAGCGGAACACAATCCGCTGCTATAATTGTTCCGCTTATGGGCATTACGCTTCGTCGTGTACTGCGTCGAAACGCGAGAAGGGGTCCTGTTTCCGTTGTGGATCCCTCCAACATATGCTGAAGGATTGTCAACAGAAGCCTACAATTAATCCGCGGATGGTGGGCGCAGCCAACAACCAGCCGATTCGAGATGACGAAGAGCGGCACAATATGTTTATTCCGATTGTTAACCAGGTAGGAGTATATTTTTACACTGATTGTCAACAGAGGCCTAACGTAACCTTACTTTCTGCCATGTTTGATACGGGAAGCGCCATTAATTTAATTCAGCACGCTGCGATTCCTTATAGTAACTTTAGCGATGTATTGTTTCCGACGGACTACTGTGGAGTTAATGGATTTAAAATTAAAACTTTCGGGAAAATATTTGTTAGAATTATTTTTCAAAACAGAGAAGAAGAAATTTCATTTTTTGTTGTACCCAACAACTATGTTGCAACTAATGTTCTTTTAGGACGTAAGTTTTTGGAAAAATTTGGAATAAAATTGATTTTTAAGGATAAGATAAAAGAAATTGTAGAATTGCATTTATTTAAGAATATTGAAGCATATCGAGACAGTGAACCATTGAAGAGTTTAGTGAATATTGAAGCATATCGAGACAGTGAATCATTGAATAGATTGAACATTGACAGTGAACCATTGAAGAGTTTAGTGAATATTGAAACATATCGAGACAATGACCCATTGAAAAGCAGTAGAAGATTTGAAGAATTATGTAATGAGAGTAAAATAGATAGTAATGATAGCATACCATACATATATAGTATTGATGTATTTAAGGATGATGAAAGTATTGACATTGACCCGAAGTTAAGCGATAAGGATAGGTGCGAACTAAATGAAATAATAAGATTAAATTACTTAAATTTATCCAACATCCCAGCTATCCAACATAGCTATGAAATGAGACTAAGACTTAAGTCGGAAGAGCCTGTACGATCTGTACCAAGAAGACTTTCATATCAGGAAAAGAAAGAAGTAGATTTAAAAATTGATGAGTTATTGAAAAAGGGATTCATAAGAGAAAGCAATTCGCCCTATAGTTCCGCTATTGTACTTGTTAAGAAAAAATCCGGAGAAAAGCGTATGTGTGTAGACTATAGACAACTTAATAAGATAACCATTCGTGATGGATACCCGCTTCCTCTCATAGATGACTGTTTAGAAAGATTAGAAGGAAACAAATATTTCACACTTTTAGATTTGAAAAGTGGATACCACCAAGTGAAAGTAGCAGAAAGTTCAGTGCAGTATACAGCTTTTGTAACACCCTCCGGTCAATATGAATACACAAGAATGCCTTTCGGACTCATGAATGCACCCGCAGTATTCATGAGATTTATTAACTTTATTCTGCAACCTTTGATTCGCGAAGGAAATGTAGTAGTCTATATCGACGATATTGCTATAGGTTCGAAGACATTGAATGAACATTTTACGACGGTAGGAAGAGTTTTACGAATTTTAGCAGAGTACCGATTGGAAATTAAGGTATGTAAATGCCAGTTCGCTTACGAAAGCATTGAATTTTTAGGGTACACACTCAGTGGAAAAGGAATCAGTCCAAATTATGAGCACACATCAACTATTAAACATCTTCCGATACCAAAAGATCGCCACGGAATGCAAAAATGCTTAGGATTATTTTCGTACTTTAGGAGATTTATTCCGGCATATTCAAAAATAGCGAAACCATTGCAAGAGCTCACAAAAGTAGGCGCTAAGTATGAACTCAGTGAAGATTGCATCAATATTTTTGAATATCTTCGGGAGAAATTAATTTCATTTCCTATACTATCTTTGTACAACCCGAACCGAGAAACTGAATTGCATTGCGACGCAAGTAGCGAGGGATTTGGTGGAATCTTATTGCAAAAACAGGATGATAGCAAGTTCCACCCAATAGCCTACTTTTCACAAAGAGCAACAAAATTAGAGGCAAGATATGAAAGTTTCAAATTGGAAACTTTAGCTGTAGTCTACTCATTACGAAAATTTAGAATATACCTAGAAGGAATTCCATTTAATATAGTGACAGATTGTAATGCAGTAGTATTATGTTTAGGAAAAGGACGCCTTAATTCAAGTATTGCCAGATGGGCTTTAGAGTTGGCCAATTATAATTATACCCTTAAGCATCGTAGTGGAAAATATATGACACATGTTGATACATTGAGTAGATACCCTTCAGCCTTAAACGAGAATTTTGAATATGAACCTGTAGTGAATATTCAGGGAAGAGACAACAAAGATCAAATAGTTTCAGTAATTGACAGTGACGACATTAATCTTCAGCTTCAGATAACGCAAAATAGGGATAGTATTATAGTAAAATTGAAAGAACAATTAGAACTTGGAATTGTGAAGAACTTTATATTGAATGATGGAATTGTTTATAGATTAGGTGAGAATGATATTGAACTGTTATATGTACCAGCTGAAATGGAATCCCATATAATTAGAAGAGTTCATGAAAATTTATGCCATTTAGGTACAGAGAAATGTTTAAAGGAAATAATGAGACATTATTGGTTTCCGAACATGAAATCTAAAATAGAAGCATTTATTGGAAATTGTTTAAACTGTATCATGTTTACGGTACCCACACATGCGAATAATCGAACACTACATAATATACCCAAGCGACCAATTCCTTTTGATACATTACATATAGATCATTTTGGACCATTGCCCTCAGTCATATCGAAAAAGAAACATTTGTTAGTAATTATTGATGGATTTACCAAATTCGTTAAATTGTTTCCGGTAAATTCAACGAGTACGAAAGAAGTTAACATTTGTTTTTCGAAATATTTTCAATATTACAGTCGACCACGTAGAATCGTAAGTGATAGAGGTACATGTTTCACGTCATTAGAATTTGCAAAATTTTTATTGGAAAATAATATCGAACACGTTAAGGTAGCAACTGCGTCACCTCAGGCGAACGGCCAGGTGGAGAGAGTAAATAGGACTGTAAAAGCGATGCTAGCCAAGATAACTGAACCAATTAAGCACGAGGATTGGAGCAAACTCTTAGTTAAGGCCGAATATGCCATTAATAATTCAATGCATTCAACTACGAAAGAATTACCCTCAGTGTTGTTATTTGGAGTTCAGCAGAGAGGTTGTAATATTGACGCATTAACAGAATACTTAGATGATAGAAATGATATACCACAGTGTGATTTAGTAAATGTCCGCAAAAACTCTTCAGATAAAATTGAACAGTGTCAGAAAAGAAGCAAGGAATATTTTCAGAAGAATCACAAAAATCATGTAGAATTCGCAGAAGGCGATTTTGTTGTAATGCGAAACATTGACACCACAATTGGTACAAATAAAAAATTTGTGCCAAAGTACAAAGGACCATACATCGTTAAAAAAGTTTTGCCAAACGATAGGTATGTTGTAAGTGATATTGAAAATTGTCAAATTAGCCAAATTCCCTATGATGGAATTGTAGAAGCATGTCGGTTGCGGAAATGGGCAGATTGGCGTAATCAGTGTGAAAGTAACTCCTAAAATGTTAATCTAATACTTATGTCTAATTTATTTATAACTAACCAACTTTGTGCACATATATATCATAACTATTCTAATTAGCTTATACGTACAGATACAAAACTAGAAACTCACGATCGAGGACGATCTAATTGTCAGGATGGCCGAGCTGTTAGCAGTGTATTAGAGAGGTTCATAGAATAAGCTGTATGCCGATGACTATTTAGTATTAATATCGTTTACATGCTAACTTCCGCATTTATGTACCAATTCCGATATTCCGATTCAATGTAAAACTAAGTTAAGCTAATATATGATGATAAGGATATTGAAAAGAGCAGAGAACGGTCACACTGCGATATAAGAGAGCTAGCGAGCACATGTGTAAATTTAAGCCAATATAAAGAATACAAATAAAAAGTGAAACAGAACGGCAATAACAATATATTTGTATAAAGCAAAAAAGACAATTTTTTTTATTTTTAGCTTAACTTAGTAGGGTATATCTTTGTGACCCCATGCAAGTGTGTCTATATTATTCTCTTTTATATAGCGCTTATCATCTAAATAGTTTAGGGTGACTTTTGTATACTCTTGCGTATAAATTTGATGTAATTTCGATTTAAATAAGTACATTGTTCCAACTTGCTTATTTTTTTTATACAAGCAATCTCGAAAATCGTTAATAGTTAATTTTGAGGTCACACTCGCCTTTACTCCTTTAATTTTTTTGATCTCCGTTGTTTCAGCATTATTTATATTAGAGACTTGTATTGAATACATTTTAGCTCTGAGTCCAATAAATTCTTTTATTATATCCCCCCTGCACTCATCTTTCATCATACCTAATTTTTTTTTGTTTATCAATGGTAATTTAAAAACATTATCCTTATCATATTCTGAAGTATCGAAATGCTGATCAATTTCAAAACGAATGTCATCATAAAAATCTATAGTCTTAATATCATAGATAAAAGAATCAGTATCCATATACATTAAATTTATATTTTCTTGATATTTCGGCTTCATATAGTCATAGTGAAAATTGTACATTTTAAATTTTGATAATTCTAGAACGGTGAAGCCAATGTAGACAGGCTTATCATAGACAACATGCACTTTTTTCATTTGAATTGCAAAGAAATCATCCGCCAATTGCAATATATTCTTAAAATTAAATTTTGAGATAAGTGCTCTAGCTCCCAATTTTTTACCATCACTCTCCCACCTGGACACTAATCTAATTGATTTTCTCTTGTCGACATTCTCCATTGTCTTCCCATAGACTGCATTGTTTAGCAGTTTGAAAAAATTCTTTTCAAAATCATTAACAGCCAATGTTCTGTGATGATTGTTACAATCAATATATTTTTTAAGCCAATCAGATTGTTCAAATTGTAATATTCGATGAATTTTCTTTAAAATCAGTCCATGTCGAAGACATTGCTGCAAATTTCTATAGTGAATTATATAATTATATTTGTTTGTCAAGTCTGCAATCAATTTTGATTGTTGCATATTTTCATTTTTTTTGTTCTGCGAACAAAATGGTAAATCATTGTGCTGGCTGTGTAAGTTTTCAGTGTATTCCAAATCGACCTCTAAAATATAACCAATTGGTTGATCATCTACGCACGTGTTTAAATCAAAATTTTCAAAAATTCCCTCTTCTGTTTCTTCTAGCCATTTAAAATTTTTATACGGAATAGCTTGTGACATAGCATACCCATATAAATTATTAACATCTAAGTATACAATATAATTTGATTCTTTCTCACAGTCGTAATCGTTATTTAGATATTTGTTATTTGCAATAGAATGACGTTTACTACATTGAACAAGACCACCTCTAATACCTTTCATTATAAAATTATACATATCAATATCTGTGAGTAGTTCTAATTCAATTTTAGTTGTCTTCAACATAGCATCCCACGATAGACCAGGAGTTGTATAATATTGACAAGGATCTAAATTATAGATTTTTTTACATACTGTTCTAAAATTCTCAAAAACATCACATAGCAACAGCACATCTACCTTCAAATATAATAATAAATAATCTAATAAATTTGTGCACTCGAAGGCATTCCAAACGTTTTGAGCGTGCTGATAACTCTCTTCAGAACAGTGTCTATCAGTTAATTGGTTATAAAAATTTTCGCGCAACGGTAATTGTGTATCTGACAAGCGTTCAACTGAATTTAAATAGCTATACGGAAATATGCCTTTACGTTTAACCATTTGAAATTGGTTCGGGTCCGTGAAAAATGACTTTATTGTGGTTAGATTTTCTTCTTTTAAATAACTGGCTAAGCTGTCTAAACTGGAAGGCATAAATCTAAATGAATCTAAAAATCGAAGTTCTAACGTTTCATTGGGATTTATATAAATTTTCTTTGAGATCGAAATATAAAACTCTTTGTTTAGCGGAATTATAGAAATATCACCAGGAATTTTAATTAATTCTTTTACAAATAAATGAGCATCGTATGCCGAGAGATTATGGAAAAATATTGGGAAAAATTTTGCTAATTTATAGTTTAAATTGCAATTATTATGTGCTACACCTCTATATTTGCCTGTTAAGTGACAATGGTCTAGAACTCTTTTAGATTGTTCAGTTAATATATTACCGCATATACTACAATTTTGTTCTAAGTCAATTATTTTTTGTTGCTCCATTGATAGCGGATATAAGGGTATCGTTACATTTAAGTGATTTTGATATAACACTAAACAATCATTATATATGCTCTCAACAAAATGTGTTGCACAATCTTCACCATAATATATTCGATATATATCCAAACTATTGTCAAATGAACACTTTATATAATAACTATATGCATACGGTATGTGCTTTTGAATCAAATTTATGTTATCCGAAGTTTTCAGATTCATCCCTTCTAAAATACACTCAAAATCAGCATATGCTACAAAAGGAACATCTAATTGATTTTTAAAATTTTTAAATCTTAAAGTCGCCGTTTCATTTGTAGGCATCTCAGTTATAATTCTATTACACTCCATAATATGTCGTTCCAGTTTGTCGCTATCGTAGAAATGTAGAAAACAGCCATTGCATAGATGAATCTTCCTCGTACTTTTCGTTATTTGTTTGCGAAGTAATCTAATGGAGAATCAAAGAAATAAATATAATTTTTTTATTTTTTAATTTTCTAATTTAATACTTACTTGGAAATATTTTTAATCCAAGCATAGTGATATTTGTCATCCTTCTCGAGAAGTAGTAGATATATAGTGTGTAAAACGTTGTCAGTTTTATTATTAGTTAAATAATATGGACCGATAATTGTCTTTTCATCGCTGTCTACACCCAACACAGTTATACTAATTTCAGGATTATTTTCTTCAAATATTTTTATGCTGTCGACCGGTGTGGGGAATTTTAATCCACTAAAATTTAATGATTTATTA